CTGCGTATATCCAACGGGTGACAGAGCACGAATCGAGAAAAAATTAATAACTCGGGACATTTCTCGCTAATAATTATGTAAATATGGACGCGCACGCGGTATGTACGCCACAGTGCCACAGCGGCTGCATTTTCCCACGCGCGTCCAAGCGCGCAATGTACACGCTGTATATAGAGTGCGCCGTGCTCACTGCAGTCGTGCGAGTTGACTTTGCTATTGTGAGCGCTGCTCGCACAAGAAAAATCAAAGCGGCGCTCGCTGTAATTATCGCTCTACCTGTAATACTTGAGCCATTATTGAATAATTTCATTTGTTTATTTATTTATTTATTTATTTTTTTTTTTTTTTGCTTACTCGTGATTCGTCGCGCAATATTTTGCACGAACTCAACTGGATTCTCTCGAGGACGCGAGTACGAGTTCCGAGTACGTACGTTATATGTGCACAACTTTTGCTTTGCCGAGCTGCACGTATACACATGGACGCGGCCAAGTTGGCCCTATTCTACGAATAGACAAAAGTTGCATGTGTGTTTCTCCGTTTGTTCGTACGTCGTACGGATGCACTGGCACAGTGGCACAAAGAGCTCGGTCGCGCGTACGCGTGTCCTGTGTATTTGCGCGATCGAATTTATCGAAGAATGAAAGACACCGCTACTGCGAATCACTCTGTTTCCTTTTTTCAAACGTTATAGTATGAGCTTGTGTGCGCTGTTAGCAACAAAAACGAAAACATTGAAACTACTCATGGAATCGAGAATATTTGCAAAGCTTTTTTTTATTTTCCTGCATCCAGCCCGCGCCTGACTCTAAATATGAAAATAGAAATTTATCGATTCGTTATCGCTCTTACATACGTTGCTCGGGTGCACGAACTGTCGGAAGGCGTCAAAAGTGTCGATATTTCAGTCTCAGCGCGGTGCGAACTATTACAGGGGTCAGAATTTATAATTAAAAAACTTTGGCGAACGGAGCTTTCGCGCGGGTATTAAAGCTTCGCTGCAGTAACCGCTCACACACATAATCAATCGTTGGCAAGTTGCATTTCAGCGCGAGTAAAATTAAATTAGGACAGAAATGGTTTTGTTTGTTGCGTCACTTTCGCTATGATGCACGAGCGGGCAACGGATGAAATGCCATCGCAAAAGTCACTTTGGCCTATCTTTTATGCACCAACTCCTCGATGCTCGTATTATATTATAATGGTATCCAATGCACACACGCGTATACTCCTCCAAGCTGCGCTTAGTTATAATTAATTATCGCTTCGCCAGGCGCGTGCACGCAACAACGAAAACGACAACAACAACAACAGCTGATCGGCAAAACTTTAATGCTCAAGGCCCATGCACATTTATAAATATCATGTACATCATGCGTAATATTCTCTCTCTCTCTTTCTCTCGAACCAGTGCCGAAAAGGTGTGTATATGTGTATCAAGACTCTCTTTGACTTTTGCATCGCGCGCGCAAGCAGAAGTAGCCTTGGGGCCTTTTGTAGGTCCAACTCGAGGATGACTAACGAGCCTTTCTCTCTCTCTCTCTCTCTGTTTCTCTCTCTCCTGCTCAGGTTATATACCTGTGTATGTACTTGCATGTATATGTAGGGACTTGCACGTGCATACACACACACACACTCACATATTGGCACTCTTTTCTCGCAGTGTGGTCGTCGGCAAGTCTGCTGCAGTTCAGAGACCGCGCGATGCCGAGATGAATAATAATGAGCCCAGCGAGAAGAAACCGGCTTATATGGGAAGCTTGCAGGCGAATTCCGCACACCTACACATGCACGCAGACACATACAGACCCTCGCTCACACACACGAACATACAAACACACCCATACATTTGTGCACTCGCGCGTTGGAATGTTTTTTCGGGGACAGTAATACGCGATTCTCGAAATGTGGTCATGATGCAGCAGCAGTTTTTTTAAAATGCGTTCAACTGTAGCATTTTCAGTGCCTCGTGATCCTCGCGATGTATGCGTGCAGTGTATGTGAGAGAGTGGATAACTACTCCTGTTAGCGGAAGAAGGAGCAGCAAAGATATGGCGAGAGAGAGAGAGAGAGAGAGAGAGAGGGAAAACGCGAGGAGAACGCAGAAATGTGGATAAAAGAAAGCAAGAGAGAAAAAAGATTTGTTTCTTAATCGATTGGAAGGGTCGCGCGGCTTTGAGAGAGACCAGAGCAAAAGAGATGATCGAATAATGTTGCTCTTCTCTTTCGAGCGCTGCAGGGACAAAAATCGATAATTATTCCAACATTCGCAGCGTTAATTTCGAGCTTTCGAATCTGCACGCAGTCTACTACAGCACTTTGTTAGACGACGACGATTTCTATTCCTCGTATCAACGCTCTTTAATCCAGTTATGTTATTGCAATCATATTTGAAAATCGGAAATCGATACTCTCAACTCGTGTACTTGCTACGTTTCTCCCATAGAGCGGTAGTACGACTGTGCAAGTGTTGCTTAACTTTTAATTAACTTTAATCGATCTGTCAAAGTAGGCTAATGAATCCTACGAAGAGCATTTAGAGCTACGCGCGTATAAAGGAGAGATATACGCAGCGAGCTAATCGTCTAAATCTGTTGTCGGGAGATGATCGGGAGCAGGCAGGCGCGCAGAGCGAAGGTGGCTGCATTCCACCCGCTATTTATGCATGTATGCTGCTGCTGCTGCTGCTGCTGCTACGTGTGTACGTGTGAGTGCGGAGGAGGAAGAAAAAAAGGAGCCGGAGAAGAAGAAGAAAAGACACGCATCCGGCGGAGCGCGTGCGCAACGAATTATCGCACGCTGGATGAAACCCCCTGGCGAGAGAAGCTATATAATGCTGCAACACAGCAGAAGTAGCAGCATCAGCAGCGGCCACGGCAGCGTGTGTGTGCTTATATACAAACACACAGGCCTCGACAGGTAGAGACTGGCTTGTGAACACGCACCACAGGCGCCTTCCTCTTCTCGCCCTCGTTCTTGTATATATATTTTTTCCCTCTCTCTCTCTTTCTCTCTCTTCGTCCCTGCCTGTCTTTTCTCTTGCTTTCTCGTAGCACACTCGCACACACACACAAGTATAAAGATTACCTGAAAAAAAAGAAGAAGAAGATGAAGAAGAAGCAGGTTAAAACGAGTTGGATCCTCTTTTTCGATGCTCCGCAGTTGCCGCCCTGGCTTAAAAAACCCTCCGTGTGTGTGCGCGCGCGCGTGTGTATAGTATTCGCTCGTGTTTCTTCGGCCAAAGAATCTCTCTCTATATATGCAGGCAGTTTCTCACACACCGAGACATACTTGGTACGATGTGTAGGTATGGGTAAAAGAGCGAGAGGGAAAAAGAGAGAGAGAGAGACCACCGGCACGCGATTACCGGGTTGTTACGCAAATGAATCGCGAGCGCAAACTCGCACGCGCGCAAATAAAAATGAAAAGCTCGAGCCAACACTGCCAGCGCAAGGATTGTTTAAATTGGCAGTGTCATTCGATTTTTTTAAGCGTTTTTTTTTCGCGATGCTCTGGATATTTTCGGCCAACAACGATAAGCTGCATGTGCCATCTCTGAAATGCCAATTGCGTCAGGGCGCAACTTGTCAATTGTGAGAATTAGTACACAATTCCAAAATTTTGTCTTGTCCTCCACTGTCATAATACAAGAGTAAATAATAATATACATATTATGTACGCGTGTAAAAGCTTCTTTCTTTCTTCTTTCTTCTTCGTGCGAGGGCAAAAAACGAGAAGCAAAGTAAAATAAAATAAAAACGAATAAGAAGAAACACCAATAGCAATAGCAGCAGCAGCAGCAGTCCACAGCGTGCAAACACAGACAAACACTCACACACACACACAATGAATATAAAAGGAATGCGATCATCGGCACCTATTGAATCACCCAATGTGTCTCTTGCGATTTAAGAGGTGAAAGAAATGTTGTAGAACCAAAAGAGGCGGAGAGTGCTCTCTCTCTCTCTCTCTCCATCCACGGCTTATTCACGTATGCATACACGTACGTGGAATTTCAAAATGCCCGTTGGGCTAAAAATTTCCCAGCCAATTTTTCGTGGTAGAGAAAACTCTCGTGCGTACCAACCCCCAGCGTATATGATTGGAGCTACTCGATTTTTGCGAGCATACACGTATATTACATTTATACATTTTTTTTCATTGGACGCGCGACAAGCAGGCGCCCGTATACCTTTTTAACAATGAGAATGGAACGCGAGTTTCATCCAGTTTGCGCGCGAGCTCGCCCATGCTCACATATATGTATGTAAGTATGCCAACTCCTGGAATCAAGGTGCTTTGTCCTAAGCGAAGCGAGCACTGAAAAATCCTTTACGCGCGCGGATTCTTGAGGATTTCGAGGAGCTGCCTGGTGCGTGATTCACTTTTTAAAAAGCCCATGCGACACGCGCATTGCGCCCTTTCCGTCTTGCTCGGCTCACGGCAAAACTCATACGTCGATACGGCCTTTTGACAAATTATAACTTCCTCTCCGCTCGCTGTGGTAGAAATAAAATCTGCTCGATGATTTACGATGATTAATCGTGCGAAATCGCGCCTACCGGTCCGTATATGGCTGCATCTTTTTACGCACGCACGCAACGACGATCGATTTGATTTCTACGATTCGTAGGAAATTGACGTAAAAAAAGGTGAGCGTGTAAGACATTAAAGTATCAGAAAACATACATAAAACATCCGAATAAGCATATTAGAACACGTAGCTGATATTGTGCATTGGCGAGTCGAGCGTCGATGCGCTCCTTGGTCCGTGTATTTATGCGCGCTCGTGTGTGCGTAGCATCCTATATTCGAATACCGCCAAAGAAGCCAGAGCTCCGAATTCCTCATCCGTAATTAACACTATCCTCGTATATGTATATATGTATGTATATATAGCGCGCGTCTCTTTGGCCAGAGCGAAAAACGAGTATACAGAGAGAAGGAGCGAAAACAAAATAGGAGCAGAGCGAAAAGGCGAGATAGTGAAATTGACTGACCTTCTCTTCGAGGGACGGTCCCTTCTCCATGGCGTGCATAACCGCGTCGGAAATTCGGCTGTCCAGATGTCTTACCGCCTTCTCGACATTCAATCCGAGCGGATCGTCGTTGGGACCGCGTTCCACTGCGACGACCAAGCGCTCCACCGTCTCGATGTATTGCGACCAGACGAGGTCCAGCTCCAAGGCTGGTTCCATCATGCATCCCCTGCGTCAATGGAAACAAAACAACGACAAAGAAACATTAGAATATCGCTCGGAAGAGAGAAGCAGAGAAAGAGAGAGAGAGAGAAAAAGAGAGAAGCTTCGACTTATAATCTGTATAAATTCTTGGCTGTAAATGTCCATTGTGGCAATATATGGGCCCTCTCCGCTCGAGTTGGTTGGAGCGCGCGCGAGCACTGCAGAATTAAGAAAGTCGAAATTTTTCAAGATTTATAGGCGAGGCGCTGTTTATTGCTCGGGCCACGAATTTCTTGCTCATTGCAATTTGCCCTGCACGCGCAGCATTGCGTAACGAGGGATGATGAGCAAAACGCGATCCAGCGAGATTTTAAATTAGCCCGAGAGAGGAGGGATCATCGTGTTAATGCCAAAGTCTCAATTAAGGCGCGATAGGCGAAATAACAAGCTGCAATTGCACGCGTTGTCTGTAGGCCATGCATATAGAGTAATATAGGCTGGCATTTACGAGCGAATGGACAGCTGCCAAATGGAATGGCGCGCTAACGACTCACTTCATGACATTGGTGCAGAAGCCTCGGCAGGGCATGACGGCTCGAGGAATGCCTTTGCACTTGGGACAGTGAGTCATCCTGAGCAGCGCCTTGTAGCAGGCCTCCTGCTGCTCGCTCGAGCCCGAGAAGATGAGGCCGTCGGTCTTCTCGAGGACGCTCCTGCCCAGGGCGAGGGCCTGTATGAGGACCCGCGTGGCCTCCAAGCTCTTGACGAGCGAGCCGCCGATCTGCTTGGGTATGTCGCCGAACGGCTCGATCTCGCCCATGCGCTCGTGCAGGCAGCTCTTGAACCTCGCGCTGAAGTCGTGCTGGGGCTGGCTCGGATTGATGGCCCGGTGATAGGCGATCGGGAAGAGCCGCTTGAAGAAGTCGGCGAAGCGCTCGTGCAGCATGTCCTGGCTGAGGGGCTGCTGCTGGAGGCTCTCGGCCGCGTTGGCCGGCGACACGTAGTCCACCATCGCCTGGTACAGCGCCGAGATCGTCGGTGCGCTCTGGCTCGCCATGCCTCGGTACACTTGACTGAACAGAGTCACCGTTTTGTTCTCCGACTGGCGCGTCAGCGTCGTTACCGTTTCTGTAAACATACAAAAGATACATAATATAGTTAATTGAACGATTAATCAATTTGCTCTCACGAATATTTGCATAACAGCGAGGCATAATGCGGGCGGCGAGCTCGCCGCTTCTTTTACTAAAACGATAGCCATCGCAGAGCGCTGATGGCCGCGCCAGCGATACAAGGGAGACGTGACTAAATGAGTCCGCAGAAAAATGACGCATTGTGCTCGAGTCTAAACTGGTCTAGACTCGCGACCAAAGCCGGACCTACGCCCGCAGTGCAGCTTTCAAGTTCGAACGCGAGCGAGCGAAACCGTATCATTTTCAATAATTCTCGATTGCGCAATGCTGAAAATGTGCACGTGTATAATGAGATGCGTTACGTCAGGAAACAACAAAATCAAAAAGAAATGACACACATGTTTTCCGCCTTCGACTTTCGACCTTCGTGCCGACGAGACGGAAAAAGAGACTTGTGCCGATAAAAAGAGTCAATCGATGATTTTATGTAATTTCAGAAACAAACAACTGATGTTTGTAAACAAGCCTATACAGCACTATTCTTTGTTTTTGTAATTAAAAAACAAATTACGCTAATTTGCCGTCGCAAGCCAATGTTTTTGTATTATTTCAGACTCCGCATTTTATCTTATCGCACGGGCGGATTTTTACCAAACTTAAGTGAATCTCGCGCCTGTTGCGTAATGTCGTAATTGCCGGTTATCCAATGCACTCCAAGGGTGACAATCGAAGAGGAAATTCAAATATTGAACTTCCTCTAATATAAAAGCAAGTGTTTTTCTTAAAATTCAACACATCGTTTTGAAACTGCAGCAACGATGAAAGTCGTTGCGAATTTATCAATTTTCATCTTGTGTCTGACTCTGCGCGGTAAGTCTCGCTCTCTATCGTTTTTTTCATTTTTTTCTTTTTCGACGACAATTAAGTACAAATTTAATACAAAATTCAATAGACGTCAGCGCTGAGCTTGACGACGACGTAGAGTCGAGGATCACCTTCGGCCAAGATGCCTCACCCGGTGAATTTCCCCATCACATCTCGATGTACAAGGACAGAAGTTATCTGTGTGGAGGAGCTTTGATTTCACCCAAGCATGTGCTCACAGCGGCTCACTGCGTCCAGAGTCTGGTGAAAAATAGAAAATATGAATTGCTCGTCGAGGTGGGTACTGTCAACCTAGGAAAAGGAAGGGTTCACCGCGTCTCTAGGATTGCCTACAACAGAGGATTTGATCTCCATCCTGGCTCGAAACTCGTCTCCGACGATATCGCCGTCATCCACGTAAGTAGCTTCGAAAAGCTCCTTTATTCGTATTTGCATTTGATTAATTAAACAACCGAATTTTTACATTCGCAGCTGAAAGCCCCGGTAGAGCTCTCGGACAATGTCAAGCCGATCAAGCTGCCAGTGGCCAACTCGGAACTTCCCGATCAGTCGATCATCCACGTGTCTGGATTCGGAATCAGCCGGCCAGGCGGAGTCGGTCCCGTGAATAAACGCTTGCAAAAAGTCCAGAGCCTTACTATCTCCAGGTTGGCCTGTAGCCGATGGTACGTGGCCTACATGAATGAACGAATCGGGCCTAAAGTCATTTGTGTCAGAGATAAGCGTCCGGGTACTTGCTACGTAAGTTTTTTAAATCCACTCTGTGAATCACTCGTTATTTGTCTCAAAAAATTGACCGCGAATTAATTTTTTTCTGCAGGGTGACAGCGGCGGTCCCATGACTAACGAGACCAAAGACGTAATCGTCGGCGTAGTTTCCGGTGGCACTGGACGATGCGGTAGAGGTGATCCCGACATTTTCACCAAAGTCTCGCACTTCATTCCATTCATAGAAAACGAATTGAACGGCGATTACAAAGCCAACGCTATTCATCCATCGATCAATTATTAGTTGGAAAAGAAAAAAGTAATAATTGTAAATTGCAATGTTTTTTACCGTTTTGTATGTAAATTTTATCGCATATTTTTAATAAAAAAAATTGGTTTTAATGGATTTCGGTAGGCTTGATTTTTTTTTCCTCTTCACGAAGACGGTATGAAAAAATTATCGCTACTCGATTTGGTGTGAATATCATTTATTGGTTGCAAAACAACAACGCTTGATGTGTTGAATTTCGCAGCGTATACGTGTGAGATTTTTTTATAGCCGACGACAGGTCGATTTTGTACGAAAGAAGGTAAAAGTTACGTAGACTCGTCTCGAAAAATGACTTTTTCCCCAGCTCTTTTTTTCCAGACTTTTGTAGGATATTCTTTCGAAATATTTAATACGTATATTTATTCGGAACGGCTTCTATTCACTATCGTTCGAAATTTCACCAGAAGCAGACACAAGATGAAGCGGCTCATGGAGCAGTCGACGTTGTTGTTTTGCGTGATTTTGGGTAAATAATAATTGTTCCAAGTGTCGTCGATCAAGCTGCTGCGTGTCGTCGACTCGTGTACTCTTGTTTATGTGAGTGTTTGTGCGCTTTCTAATCGTTAATTATTCGCAGGGGCGTCGATCGGCCTGTGCTACAGCGGCGGCGCCCAGTCCCGCATAGCCAATCTCGGCGAGACGGCCCAGAGAGGCGAACTGCCCCATCACGTGGACATTTTCGTCAACAAGTCTCATCACTGCGGTGCAGCTCTGATCTCGGCGAGGCACGTGCTCACGGCCGCGCACTGCCTCTATCTGTTCTTCGATCCGCACGTCGACAACCGCCTCGAGGTCATTGTCGGCACGGTCGAGCTCGGCGAGGGGGCCAGCTACGGGATCCGTCGTATCGCCTATCCGGCCGAGTTCGATCCCAAGACGGTCGCCAATGACATTGCCGTGGTCCACGTAAGTTCCTTGCCTTGTCTCGTCCGCTAAAATCCATTTCTCAATTTGATCGAGACAAAAATTAACATTTCGCTTCTTGCGTAGTTGAAACGGCCAGTTATACTCTCGGCCAATGTCAAACCGGTCAGTTTGCCTCGAAATAAATTCGACGAGCCCAATGTCTACGACTCGATGATCATCGCCGGCTATGGCTGGGACAAAAACAACATCGATGCCGACTACTTGAAGGTGTTGCAGACCCAAGTTGTCTCTCCCGAGTGGTGCTCGAGGTTTTTCAAGATCGAGTCCACGAGATTTTGCACCTATCGCAGCAGGGATTACGGCGTCTGCCCCGTGAGTGAATCGCGCCATTAAAAATTGACAAATTTCACAAAAGTATTTGTTTCATGAATTTTCTCCGATGCAGGGTGACAGTGGCAGTCCTTTAGTCAACGAAGCCAAAACCATCGTTTATGGAATAGCGTCGGAAGCTGCGAAGGATTGCGCCAATGGAAAGCCCGAGGTCTACACCAAAGTCTCGCAGTACCTCGATTTCATCCGAAGTGAGATGAATTATTACACGATTTTCCCCTTCGCTCCTGGTCCGAATCCCTCGATCGTCTACTAAGCCCACTACTCGTAGTTATCATGATACTTTCATCAGAGACTCAGCATTAGGCAATTTGGCTACTAAAATTAGCATATTTTGTTCATCAAAAATAGATGGCATTATCAGAGGATTTTTTTTCAAGCATATTTTTTTACCAAATACATAAATGATTTTGCAAATAAACGTGTTCGATAAAGTTCGCTTCGAAAATGTTGAAATTGACAAAATGCATTGATAAATTATTTGAATGATTCGGAAATAATGTACCTAGAATTATTAGTAAAAACCTTTTATTTCCAACGATAAAATCCCGGCGTATGTTGCCTATACATGCGTGCTGTGTATACGTCACAAATCATATTAAATCCTTTCGAATATTCATATAATCTGACATAAATTGTTGGCTTTTACAGAGTTATAAAACTTGTTGCGCAACGTTCGATGCTGCAGCTCAACATTTTTTTTCTCTCTCTCCTATCTGCGCCCGAAAAACGACGTATTTTCTAAATTATTACAAAAGAATGCAAAACAGAGAGATTTCGAGTATAATATTATTGACGATCGGAACAAGCGTTAAATGTTTCATCATAAGCCATTGGCGTTTCAAAGGTCAATCGCGTTGTCGAGGCAATAGCAGTCTTTTGCCCTATAAGCGGATTTCGTCACGGCCGCTTATCGGATCGCTTTCGGGAGAGGAAAATCTTGTCAAGCATCAGAATTGTTTAGTGCGAGGCTAAAGTTAAGTGACGAGGAAACAGCATCGTTAAACTTGAGGAAAAAATGGGGAAAAAACCCGATGAGGCAAAAGGCATCGGTCTTGTCAATAGAATTGTGTACGGTACATTTTCCGACAATTTTCACTGTTTTGCGTCCATCCGCACTCAACCGAATCAAGCGAGCTTTTATATAATAGAACGGGGCGTAGGTATAAGAGAGAAAACAAATCGCGTCTATGCGTGCGCGGACTTGTGACGATGGAATCCGACGCATGCCCGTGAACATGTACAGTGCACAGTCGGCTATATACAGTCAGCTGGTAGCAAAAGGGAAGTAAAAGGCCAGCAGCTGCATGGGCAAGCCGAGAATGAGAGAAAGAGAACGAGAGAGCGAGATGAAGAAGGCATGCAAAGTGAAATACGCGAAGGTACGACTCGGGATGCAGAGCACGCATACTATAAATGCGTATCAGCAATTGGGCAGAAAATAGCCTAGAACAGACATAGACGTGAGTGTTTCTCTCTCTCTAAATATATATATCTCATTCTCATGCACGCTGAGTTGTTCGTCCGTCGTCGTGATGCTCGCACTTCATTCATTCCTCGATTCGCATTTCGCCCTCTTTGTCTCCAATGCCATATCTAACTATTTTCGTCGCGTGAGCTTTTCTATTTCTAAGCTCTCCGAGAAATTGCAGCGGCAAACTTGTGCTGCTGCTGCTGCTGCTGCTGTTACTACTACTCGGCAGCTTAGATTTTTAATTCGAAACGATTTCGCGCGTAATAGGCTTTTGTCGAACGTTAGCTCGAGCCCTGCGTGAGCGAACGATTATTTACCTGAGTAAAGAAGAAGAATGAGA